CTGCCTGCAAACTGGTGGCCTGGCTATGATGGCCTCCTGTGCCTGGCTCCGGCCAGTCTCCAGACCAAGTGGCTCCTCTGGGATCCTGGTGCTTCTTGGTCGACCCTGTCTGCCAACTGAATCAGTACTGAGGGGGACACATGTTTTAAAAAAATCATTTGGGAAGTCATTGTAACATATATAATGACCTTCTAGAAAATATCTTCCTTATAGTCTCACAATTTGGTAAAGATTAAAATATATGCACATTATTACTTTTTTTTTTCTTACCAAAGATGCAGGGAAACCGGCACTGCTAGTATAACTGAAAAATGGGACGATCTCTCTGGAAGGCAATTTGACAATGTATATTAAAAGCTTGAAGGAAAAAAAAAAAAAAGCTTTAAGAGACACCTGCGGGGGCTCAGCGGTTGAGCGTCTGCCTTCAGCTCAGGGCGTGACCCCAGGGAACTGGGACCGAGTCCCACATCGGGCTCCCCACAGCAAGCCTGCTTCTCCCTCGGCCTGTGTCTCTGCCTCTCTCTGTGTGTCTCTCATGAATACATAAAGTCTTAAAAATAAATAAATACAAGCTTTAAAAACACGTATGTCCCTGAGCTACTAGTTCTACATGAATAAATACATCACATACAGAGATAAACAAAAATACACACTGATGCAGTTGCAAATAATTCTGAGCAATCCAAATGTTCCTAACAGGACTGAATGAATGCACTTCCTCTGCAGACAGGCCACAGACCCAAAAGGGGACCTGCTGTTAGAATAAGCGATGACATTTCCTTCTGTATACCTATCTTTATTCCAAATTCATACAAACAATACATTCAATGTTTCATAAATGGAGGGAATTATTTAAAGTGTTCTGGAAAAAAATACTCTGTGGAAAGACATTTGAGCTCACGCAGAACTGCTCTACTTTATGGATGTTACTCCTCAATCCCTAACAGCTGTATAGGGTAGGTACAATTTCCATTTTTACACATTTTCAATCAGACGTGCTGGCCCAAGGCTCTTCAGTGGCACCCCTGGCACGGGAACTCCAGGTCCCACTACAGAGGTGGGGCTTGTTCCCATGGCATCTGGCCAGCGTGTGGCCTCCCAGTCTCAAAGAAGACGCTTCAGATCAACGGATAAATCAACCAGGAGGTTATCAGGACATGTTTTACAAACCACAGAAGCAAACAGACATAGCATTTTCTGCTCAAGAAGTGTCACAATTAGAGATGCACAAACGGGCTTAAAAGGATGAACAAAAGAAGCCAAAGCTACAAGAGCTACACACGGACCCAGGCTGCAAGCTGGCTGAGCTCCTGGCCTCTCCGTCAGCACAGTCTGGGACGGCACCATTTCAAGTCCCTCGGGCCTGTGTCAGAAGCCATGGCTCCATGATAGCTTCTGGCTGCGGATATAAATGTGCCAAACACCCCACCAAAAAGCTAGCCCAGACACCAGGAAATGAGCCTGTTTTTTATAGTAGAACTAAATGTATAAGAAATGTAAATAACTTAGGGTCTTTTCCCTAAGTTTCCACAAAAATTTAAAAGAAACTCTAAGAATACACTTTTCCAAATAATTGCCAACTGAAAACTTTACTCAAGACAAAACACCCTCCCCCACCCCGCCAGAAACCAACCTCCAGAAAGAACCTGAGATGAGAAAGCAAAGAGAATAATTTTTGCCTCAGGTACCATGTAGCATCTAGCCTTAGGATAATGCTGACACACATGTTCGCATGGGCTCTCCATCCTTGGAAAGAAATGTTCGAGAAGACATTAATGGGAGGGTCACACTAAGACCTGACTGGCACCTCGGGGGCTGACACTCGGCAGGCAGCACAGTAAGCTCAGCTCCCTGGACACCTGCTACCTGGCGGGTCTGCAGCACCCATACGGCAGCTACTGTCTGCCTCCATCTCCTGGACGGAGAAGGGGAGCCCAAAGGGGCAAGTAAACAAGCCCTGGTCCCCAGCAGGGAGGCACAGGGCGGGGTGTGGCCAGAGTGTGGGCCCTACAGCTCCAGAGCCCACTCTCCCTGCCTCCAAGCTGAACTGTCTTCCTAAAAGCTGACCTGCACAAAGAACCCCTAACGACAAGATTACAAATTGCTGGGACAGGGCAGCCCCGGTGGCGCAGCAGTTTAGCGCCACCTGCAGCCCGGGATGTGATCCTGGAGACCGGGGATCGAGTCCCAAGTGGGGCTCCCTGCATGGAGCCTGCTTCTCCCTCTGCCTGTGTCTCTGCCTCTCTCTATATATGTCTCTCATGCATAAATAAATAAAATCTTAAAAAAAAATTGCTGGGATAGCAGAGAGGACAAAAAGCAGCTCACAGCAAAGGGCTGCAAGGGGACGGTGTTCACATCGGTGCTGACTAAACGTGAGAGGAGGCGTCCCTGGAGGACGGGGCAGGCTCACCTGTGGGACAAGAAGAGCACAAGGGAGGTCGGCAGATTGTGCCCTGGGCAGTTCATGGGGCGCAGCACCTCCGGGGCCCAGCTACTGTCCACGGCACTCACGTGGCAGGATGCAGAAGGAAGGCACAGTCACAGACCACCCCACTCCCAGTGGGGGGATGAGGAGAACAGTGGAGAACAGCGAACGAGAAGTTGGGTCATCAGGACAGAGAAAGAGAAAGCAAACAGTGGGTAGTATGTCCTCACCCTGAACTCAGCTCTGGTCAACTCATCTCCACAGCACACAGCAGAACCAGAAAGGTGCAAAGTACAATAACCGTGATTCATAGTGGGGGTGCAGCCCCTCGAGGAACGGCCCAGAGGATGACCCGTTCACTCAGAAAACAACAGAACCAGGAGAAAGGATAGTGTAACGGACATGAGGTGCACACCACACCACCACGCCCGTGGAAAGCCCGCAGCGCACTCCCGCACCAGAGGACGGGAGCAGAGGATCCAACTACCTCATGCCGACACGCTGACCTGCAGGCAGGAGCATTTCCCAGGAAGCGTCCACACCACCTGCTCCTTGCATGCTTCTCTTTCCAGCCAGAAGGGCAGTAACCGACCTGTTTCCATGCGCTCCTACCGTGGAGACAAGCCACAGTGGGCAGGAGACGCTGCTGCCTGTGTGCTGTGCTGAGAACGAGTGGGACACCTCACATGCCCCCACGCAGCCCACTCACACCGTGTGGGCACTGGAGTGAGAAGGGATCTGTGCTGGGATGAGGACGCCTGTGTGCTGGCGTCAGAGCAAGAGGCCTCCCTGCTGCTCCCCTAGGCTGGCCTCAGATCTGGGGAGCTGTATGTAACACATCCACAGGCTCCCTCGCCTTCCAGAAGCCTGGAGGAGTGGCAGCAAGTGGTTCCCTGCAGGGCCAAAGGCCCCTCCCCAGGAGCGGCAGCCACTGACAATGTCTCCTCTCCTCTGCAGGTTGGCCACGAGGCTCTGACTAGTCGACTTCCTGAGGCAAGAGCAAGAATTTCGGACAGATTCTTAAATCCTGCAGTTGGTGACAGGTGGGGCCCAGCATCCCCCAACTCCCCCGCACCCTGAGCCTCACAAGCACGTGCTAATGAACCCTCCCAGGGTTACCACAGTTTGCAGATGCTGAGTGTGAACCACTTGGGGCTCTACCGCACACCCTAGCTCTCCTCCAACCCCTGACAGGATCTCTAAATCAGGCCTAGTGTGCAGGCACACACATACACAGAGTGCCCTGTCTTCACAGCCCCCGCTGTGTACGGCCAGATCGGAGCAGCCAAAGCAGATCACCCAGGTCTACGCAGTAAGACGGAAGCTAAAGGATCATCACTTCAGGACGGAAGGCGGGAGCTTCCCTCATTTGTTTAAGTACCTAGGCAAGAATAATAATTTGATACAAATTCTTACATTCATGAGTTGGTGGCTCAGCTAGGCTAGGGATTTCTCCTTTAGAAATTAAGAGAATTTCTCTTCATTTGGGTCAGAAAAAAATTTTTTTATCTCTTAAGATCATTTTAAACTAAGTGCTGAGCCTGTTCCTCAGTATCCTGGGGTACAGAGGAGGAAAGTGACTATGTTATGGGGGACTGTCTCCACCATGGTTTGGCTAACGCAGTACGGTTACACTCAGGGACCTCTTAGAACTGTGCCCCTGGGAGCGCTGGCAGGAGGCACGACAGAAAGAACACGACTCTGGCGTGGAGGGTTTGACTCTGTGACTGGTTACTGGGTAAATCACCTAGTCACTCCCAGGCCTGCTTTCTTCATTTGTAAAATGGAGTTGGATCGCTCAGTTAGTCCTTAACTGCGGAATGGGGTAGGGGAGGTAGGGGTGTCCATGAACCCTCTAGATGATACGTGACACTGTGTATGTGCATCTGTGCCCCTTTCTGGGTAAAGACATCACTGAAACAAAAAAGGTGAGACTCCCCCCGCAGACTAGTTAGTCATTAAAGGTCCCCGACTTCACCAAAACGTGTATGATTCTGTGAGCAGTAAGGGTGCAGGAGCCCTGGCGGGAATTGATCCTCAAAGGCCAATATTCCACAATCGACACACAATATACAGCCTCACTAACGGGTTTCACTCAAACGTACGTGCATACACGTTTGTAAAGTACCTTCCTGAACCTTCATGCTACTGATTAATGTGGCACAGCTTGCTGTGTGTCACTGACATTGTGTGTTCACATGCAACACAAAAAGGTGGTTCTGAAATCATGCGAAGGTCCGCCTACAAAGCCTCATGCTGCGTGTGTGGCAGGTGAGCGATCTTCCTCAGGGAATGAGCCAAAGTTCTCTCAGAACCTACATCAAGAAACTGATCTAAGAGTCTTGCTTTGGGCCAACATGAACTCCCCAATGTTGACAGGAATGACACTTTTGAACAGTTAAATTATCAACATACAGAGTAACTATACAAATCATATGCTAAAAATTAAGGACATTGAGAAAAAGAGAACCCTCTCCTCTGGCCCAAACAGTTCAATGCCTGGGATCCAAGGTTCAGAGTTTTCTGTTTGAACAATGAAGAAACGGGTAAATTGGGAAAATGGGAGACTCACTTCCAAGAGCTTCAGTTCCTGCACACAGTTATGCAGCAGCTCTAGGGCGCGCTGAGCCACCTCCCACGGCCTCTGCAGGAAGAGGAGCAAGGTGCACTGGCGAGAAAACAGGTAACTGCGCAGATCTAACAAGGTGGCTTCTTGCCTCTGTATCAATTCACGCTTCTCCATATCTATGGGCTTTCGGAGGATCAATCCATTCCAGCTCTTCACCGGCTGGCAGAAAAAAGTCAGCCAGTTGGCACCATCTAAACAAACACACATCATGAAAGGCGCTGACTACAGATGACTTCACCTTCCTGAGATTCCCACTCGGGGCTGTGAGAACTCACGTACGAGCAGGTGGCCCAACAACCAGTTAGTCTCTAGCCATGGGCCCGCCCCCTTTACACTAGCATGGAACAGTCTTGTGATGGGGGGACAGGGCAGTTACCACGAGTAGTCCCACCCCTGCATGGCAATCGATGATGAGCACAAGACCATGAGGCACACCAACATACCATGCCCAGGGGTCGTGATCAGGTCGGGATGCAACTGCACCCTGGTGGGCTAAGGCGTCAGGGAGACCTCAGGCTCCGTGCTCAGGTCTGAGAGAAGGCACAAGGCCGGAGCATACTGGGCCAGCTCCTCTCTGCCTGCATGCCAGACATTAGCTTGTTCATATGATGTGGTCTTTCTGCCTCCCTTACCCTGTCCTTCTTTACTGAAGCCTCATGCCTGTCTCTAACTCAACCATGTCAGCTACCTGAATCACAGCCCTAGAGGAAAGGACAGTAGATACAAGGAAAGAGTAGTAGCAGGAAGCAGGAGGGAAACATCCTTGCTTGTCAAAAATTTCTAACTAGGCTCCGCAATTCTAACTTACAGCTCCAGACTCAAGCATGGCCTTAAAGTAAGCCTAAAAGCCGGCGATAACTAGTCATTCAACCCATATGGCAAAAATTTAATCTATTTTTCTCACTTCAAAAGAGAGCTGTTATACCATTTCATCATGCTGCATTCCCACCAGGAAGCAACTCAATATTGGCAAACTGATGTTACTAAACATCTCAAATGCCAAGTGCAACTACCCTTTACTGACCAGAACTTATACTCAGAACTGCTCAAGTGCACACTGAGGGAGGTGCCTCCACCAGCAGGCCCCTCTGTCCGGCCCCCTGGCCAGCATTCTCCTGGCTCCCCTTCACATTTTACTCAGACCTCTCGGACCACACTAAGACCACCTAGCACTTACCATCACACTCTGCCCCTTCACCCACAACCCCTTCTGACAGCCTGCACTCATTACAATTACCTGACTTGAAGATTTTTATTCCTATACTCTTGTTTCCCTTTCATGTAAACTCCATGAAGGATGAGGTTTTGTCTTGTTACCTACTATATTCAGAACTGTGCCTGGTACATACAGGGTTCTCAATAAGCATCCGTTAAATGAATGAACAATAATGAACAATCTTAACATTCACCTGCAAAATGTGGTCCAGGCATACTTTTGGGTTTTAATTTATCCAAGATTTATTTAAAAGCTGAGTGTACAAAGAAATTATGTGAAATATGATGTAAGAAATATGTAAGATATCTAAATATGTACAATATGGAGATGAAAATTAAATTTTTAAAATTTAATTAGTAAATACTTTGCTCTGGTTATGTTTACATTTGTATCTTAGCAAAGTAAGAGATCCAACTCTGAGCTTCCTAAAATTTGGTTTGGAGAGAGAACCAATAGGTGCCATTCATCATCATTTCTAGAAGACAGTGCCCAAGCTGAGTACCAGTACTCATCTTCCTACAGGTTTTCTAGTAGGCACTAGGATTCCTTGAAATCATTCCTTTCTTCAGAAACTGTATCAGCGTTCTTTCAAAAAGAACACCTAGCAATTACCCAATTGTGTGTGGTGGCCAGAATGGAAACAACCCAAAAGTCCAACATCAAGGGATGGTTGAATTAATGAATGAATCCACAGCAAAAATAACTGAAAACTTGATCTGTTAACTTGGAACAATGTCCATGATGGGCTGTTAATAAGAATAAGAAGCTACAAACATCTATATAATACGATGTCATTTCTAGCGAAGTATCAACCAAAACACAGTGAGAATGATTACGAACTCTTTTCTCTGTATGTGGTTTCATTGTGCTAATTTCACACTTCTAAAATAATTCAAGACTTCAAAATTTAAAAAAAGATGTACAGTGGTGCCATTTAAAATTCTGCAATGAGCACTCAAATATTACAAAGACAGCTTATCAACAGAAGTACAAGATTCCCACTCTTACGCTAGCAAGAAGGCACGGAAATTAGAAGCATAACTGGCCAGCTGTTACGTATAAACAACTCTTTATACCAGAAAAAGACCTTCTTTGTAAATGCTTTCTTAAGATGCTCTAACAGTGAAAGTGACTAATTCTTAATTCTCCTATCATTTCCTATTAGAACCATGAGAATATATCCCATATAATTTGCAAAAAAACACAAAAGGTGATTTAATCATTAGGTAAATAAATAATGGCAGCTTCCAGACTATTTACAAGTGGGAAAAGCTATACTAAGAATGAATTTGCTTCCAGAAGTGCACTACTCACCCCCAGCACCAAAGTTGACAACATACTGAGAAAACAGAGCGTCCAGTTCATCATACTGTACAAGGGCATCTTCAAACTGCTGCAGCATCTCAAACACAAAGGCAAGTTCTTCCTATTACCCAAACAAAAGGTTTTTAAAAAGCAAAAATGTCAATCAACTTTTTGAAACAACACATAGTTATTAAAGTTGCAGCATTAAAAATAACATTTCTATTATACTAAGTAAAAGTCAGTTTTAGGACCTAAGGTGTCAACATGTAGAAATGCACACAGAGGAGGCCAGAAGAAGTAGGAAAAGGCCTCTATGACCCCTGGAACCATCCATGGGCCCTCAGCAGCAGGGACACAACTGGGCACCCTCTATCTCTGCTACTGCCCTTGCCTTCCCAGACACATGCTTTTTAATTGGCATTCTTCTTGGGGCACCCAGGTGGCTCAGTCAGTGAAGCATCTTCCTTCGGCTCAGGCCATGATCCTGGGGTCCTAGGATTGAGCCTTGCATCGGGCTCCCTGCTCAGTGGGGAGCCTGCTTCTCCCTCTCCTGCTGCTTGTGCATGCACACGTTCACTCTATCAAATAAATAAATAAATAAATAAATAAATAAATAAATAAATAAATAAATAAATAAATAAATAAAAATATAAATAAAATTGGCATTCTTCTATATGGAAAAGCTGAACCTTCTCCTCCTTTTACTAATCTAACCAACTATCTATATCTATGAGGGTTCATGGATAGGAACTGTATTCCATGGTTAAAATCTAGTTCCATCGTTGTACAGACTGTTCCAGCTATGGCCATGAGGAGGCTCCTTTAGGTAGTGTTAACTTTCTTTTCTCTTCTTTTCTTTTCTTTTCTTTTCTTTTCTTTTCTTTTCTTTTCTTTTCTTTTTAAGATTTATTATTCATGAGACACACACAGAGAGAGAGAGAGAGAGGCAGAGACACAGGCAGAGGGAGAAGCAGGCTCCATGCAGGGAGCCTGACGTGGGACTCGATCCCAGGACCCCGGGGTCACAGGCCCTGGGCTGAAGGTGGCGCTAAACTGCTGAGCCACCTGGCCTGCCCAGTGTTAACTTTCTTTTAATGGATATTCAGCTTGTTTGAGGGTGCTTCCTCACTTTCTGCTAAGTCCTATTCCTGGTCCATCTTGTATTTTCCCTACCCCAGCCCTGGAATCAAACACTTCTAGAAGGAGCCCTGGCAGTTGTTACTAAGAATGGAGTTTAGAAACCAAGATTTTGGTACTAAGTGTGTTTACGTTACTGAGAAATAATTTTTTTCTAGGCCCTGTCAGAGGACAAAGGAAATATATGCATTCATATAATCCTCACACACGTGTCTGTATTTCTGATCCATCCATCCATCTATCCATCCATGGCTTCATTCTGATATCTCAGATTCCAATCCCACCCCACCCACAGGGTTCACTCGGATTCCCCCATTCCTTGTTGGAACCAAGTTTAAGAAGTTTGAAAGGTGAAGTGACAGGGCCACTGAAAGGTTTGCAACAGTTCAACCCTGCAGTGAATTGTGGACTTGTACAATCCCCTTACACGCACCCAGTCACCCAAATACCGCTAAGACACAGGCAACAGCCTGAGATAAGGGTGAACATTTCTAATCAGAACTGGTCTCTCATTTGTTCAAGGTGCATTATTTCTTCAGTAATTTACATATAAGTGCAATTTAAACGCAAAAATTAGGTTTTTTTCAGTCAAAATATGGTCAACAAGAATAATGAAGCCTAAGGGCATCATTCCTGTCACTCTTTGCAGGGTTAGAAAGGTCCCCTGGAAACTCGCTTAAGACTGTCCTTTATTGGAGCCCAAGACCATAGAACAAAACCACAGAGGAAATAAATGGCCCCAGGAAGTCACAATGTACCCACGGTGTCATGCAGGTAGTAGGCAACTCCGTCCTCAGGACTGTCACCACCACCAGCGCTTCTCTGCCTTAGTCACTTCCATGGGAAATACCCAGAAGGCCCAACATACTAACAAAACCCAAATTACTCTGAGGGCAAGGCCATTTCATAAAAGGCCAGATGCCAAGCTCTGAAGGAGCAGGAGAGCTGATGACAGAACCACCCAGGAGGCCACCTCGGATCTGCCTGAGGAGCCCAGAGACGGAAACGGCTGTCAGCTACTGTGTGTTGTCCTTTGGTTTTAAAAACTATGCCAGTAAGAATTACCACAAAAAACCCGCCTCACTTACAGAGACAGGAAGAGAAAGAGGAAGCTGTGTGGCTGCACGCTGAGTCACGTACCTGGACCATGAAATAGTCACAGAAGCTCCAGCCTGGCTCGGTCCTCTTCTCCCTCAAGGTCCTCATGTCGTCCTCAAATTTGCCTAGGTTTTTGGTAAAAGACATAAGAAGCGATGTCCTGAGTTTGGTCAGGAAGGCATTCCAGGATTCCTGAGTTCGAGAAGAGTCCTTCAGGGGGTCAGAGAGCACGACACACCTGCAGAGACACGGACGGACTGTCTGAAAATCCTCCCCAAGCACAGCACACGGCCCGCGGCTGCGACTTCCCTGCACGGCCAACTGCTGTCCTGCCCCACTTCCTCCTTTGTCCACTGGTGACAAACAGCAGGCAGGCGGTGAGAAACCAGGTTAGGAAAGGTTTCATCATCAACTGGCTTAACGCCCCACGAGCTGTCTGTGCTGCAGAACGACGGGCAGCGGGGAGGGAGGGAAGGCGAGAGAGAGTGGGAGCCGGCCTCCGGGGCTCCTTGTGCAGTAGGGCGATCACGTCGCCTTTGGCCCCAAACCTCATCCACGCAGCCCCCTTCAGAAACCTCTCTGCTTCCCTGTAACCAACAGGACAGGGCTGAGTTACCACCAAGCCCATGAGGGTGGTGACAGTGGGGACCCAGCCTCGCCATCCAGCCGAGCCCACTCAACTCCTCGAGCTCTGCTCTCCAAATCTAGCACTTTCCTATTCACTCTCCAAACCCGGCTGGGCTGACACAGGTCCTCATGGGACCTCTCCCCCGCTGCTCTGCCCTCTGGGCCTCACTGTGATCGCACCACCACCACGGCAGGTGCCAGGCTGTACACCCTTCCCCTCTGTAGACCTATTTCTCCCACCAGAGCCCAGACCGTGAGCTCCACAAGAGCAGGGTTAATAGGTAATTCATAAATAAAAGCTTAAAGAGGGCAGCCCAGGTGGCTCAGCGGTTTAGCGCCACCTTCAGCCCAGGGTGTGATCCTGGAGACCCGGATCGAGGCCCTCTTCGGGCTCCCTGAAGGAGCCTGCTTATTCCTCTGCCTGTGTCTCTGCCTCTCTGTGTGTCTCATGAATAAGTAAATAATCTTTAAAAAAATAACAAAAGCTTCAAGAATGTGGCTTAACACATAGATATGATACAATTTCACTACAAAAAAGAGTATCTGTGGGGCAGCTGCCCGGCTCAGTCAGTAGAGCACGTGACTCTTGAACTCAGGGCTCTGAGTTTGAACCCCATGTTGGGTATGGAGCCTACTTAGAATAGAATAGAGAAAAAAGAAAAGAAAAGTAAAGACTATCCATACTATGGTATGGGAATATCAAAGGCATAAAATTCCAAGTTTCCAATGGATTTGGAAAAGGCAACGTGTCCATCTAAGAGATTGGAAGAACTGGATTTCTTTATCCTCAGTAATAATAATTTGCAAAGAAAATTATTTAATATGAACTCCAATAATTTTAAAATACTGGAGCTTCAATATTTCTCCTCAGAAAAAAAAATAAAAATAAAAAAATAAAAAATAAAAAATAAAAAAAAATATTTCTCCTCAGTAAATATGTTGCCTTGATTACTAGCAAGCAGCAAGCTGGGCAGATTCTAAGTCTCTGTGCCCCATCATACCCTTTGGAGGAAGAGCCAAATCTCTGGAATTACAAATTGGTGGACAAAAAATGTGCAGCCGCCCATGGTCCAGATGATCCACCAGGTGAACAATGAGTACCAAGAAGATTTAAAAACCGGTAACTGGCTTCAACTCCAGACATTCCACCCCCTGGTGCTATTTCTTCCCCCTGAAAACAAAGGGGTCCCACCAGCTCTCTCCCAGCGCCCCAAAGGACTAACACATGCATTGATTCACTCCAGGAGCTGCTGGAACCTATCGGCAGGCCGTTTATCCCTAAGCTGTCCTCCAGGTTGTACATCACCGCCACTCATTCCGGCCCAGACACAGAATTCTCCTCTGAAGCCACAGGGGTGCAAGGGAGAGGAAGCGTCCTGAGACCTTCTGTGTCCTGTGACCCGGTGCTTACCCAGCAGACCCCATGTGCTTTAAGTCCTCTAGCCCTTATTATGCCCTGCAACTTCCACTGTTTCTAGATCTTTATATATCTTATATATATATATATATCTAAGAAAAAAGAACCATGCTTCAGAAATTCGCATTAAGTTTGGATGGTTCACTCGGAAGGGAGAGCCCAAAACAGCTGCTCAGACTAGGGGGCGCTAGTGTGGAGAAGGGTCCCCCCCAAGCACGGGCGGCACTGTGCCCAGGGCAGCCACAGGCAGGGGCCCGGCCCCACCCGTCACGGGGCCACCACTAGCCCCGGCAGCTCGCGGGGCAGCCCTCCGACAGCAATACTCACCAACAGCCTGAAAACTGCACAGAACCTTTGGCCACACAATTTTCCTTTTAGGGATGTACCCTAAGGAAATAATAAAGGACGTACAGAACATCCAAGCTCAAAAGAAGTTTCCAATGCTGTTCATCCTAAGTGGTAACGCGTCCATCCAGCAGAGGACTGGATAAAGACCCAGTACATCACCACTAGGGAGTGTTACACACTCACTGGCAGTAATGGTGGAGAAATACACCTATTGCTCATGGAAATATTTTTATAACATATTAAGGACAAAAAAGCAAGTATAAAACATTGTGCATGGTATACTGTGCACACACACACGTGTTCTTTGTGGGCACATAAAGAGGAAAAGTTTGAAACATACATACCAAATACTAAGAGCTAAGATCTATTTTCATTTTACTCATTACCTTCTTCTTACAACCCTACCATGAACATGCAATGTTTATAATCACGAATTACATACAAGGTTAAAATTAAACCAGTAAGCCTCCCCATGGCCAAGTGCACCATCATTTCCAGAGGCCAGAAATCACACCAGCTAATAAAACAATTGCTGATACGGATGTTATCAAACTCATATATATATAAATCTGACCCCGCTCTTTAAAAAATAAAGTACAGATTTGTTAAAGGGAGCTTGCGAATTAATGAAAATCTAAATGCTGGAAGGCATGTTTATATACTGAGAGGAAATGTTAAAAATTTTAGTAAGTTAGACTTTATGTGTATGGATAAAGAATGACTCATTACAAACAAGCTAGGTTTCGATGGACTCAGCAGGAACACACTTTAAGCTGTCAGATAAAATTATAACATAGACTTAAAAGGAATCAACAGGCACTTTGAAAAAAATCTTACACTTCAAACATGTCACAGGTTTAGACTAATATGCCCCATTAGTCCCAGGTTATGTACTTAATAAAATCACACTGAAATGAGACCAAGAGGCCATTAGGTCTGGCTGCCAGTCACCGCTCCCCACCCCTTCGCTACCCCGTGCTGCCCACCCCCCCACACTCCTGAGGAACCCCAGAGCCTCTTGGCGGCTGCTCCTCCTCCTTTCCAGAACAAGTGTGCAGTATTCCCGAACCACACAGGAAGGACACTCAGTCAAGGGGCATCTTGTTGAAATGCGAAGCTGATTCCTTCAGGCTAAGTAACTTATGAATAACAGGCCTTAGGAAAAAGTCCCACAAGTCCAGATGCCACGAAATTTCTCTAAGATGAACCATAAGCTCCACAATCTAACATTTATTTCAAACTATAAGTAAGCTTGAACATTACTCTGTGCCCAGAACCATGTGGAACATTAAAAGGAAGCCTACAGTTAAGTTGAAGAACTGTCAACTTATTGGGTGGCTCCGACACAGGATGTGGTCTCAGAATGAGAACAGCACAGGACAGTGTCAGTCATGCTCCCGGCCACATACCCGGGCCTTCCACCGGAGCCCATCCCCAGCACCTCAATACCCTTTGCTCGGTAGCCGAGCCCCCGGCTCCAATCTCTCGTCATGCTCTGAGCACTGACCGCCGGGGTGCCATGGGTGTGGCGACATGGGTGTGAAGCAGTGCCCTGTGTCCCCGTGGGACCCCCCCCATACCCAGCACCAGACCCCAGGACCCGGGGGGAGTTAAGGCACTGAGCACACCACCACCGGGCACCAGGAGGTAGGCCAGCGTGCCCAGCTAGGCCTCACAGCAGAGAAGGGAGGCGAGCTGCCCCCCCCCAGGAGACAGAACAGGGCCAGACAGAGAGAAGCAAGGGGAAAGTAGAGTCCGTGCAGGGATGCCGACACCAGACCCTCGAGGTTCCCTTCTACAGATTCTGAAGATTAAGTCAGCATTTTAGAATCTTGGTTCTGAGGAACTCTTGATAGATACGAAGGTAAATGAAACACAGGGCACCCTCACTAAGTGCATGCAGGGAACCCTGCTGTCCACGAGGACGACACTTCCCAAAGCCCCGGCTGCACTAACATGCTCAGGGGATCCTCCAAGGGGACCCCGGTGTGGTCTCTCCCGCCGTAGTTACAACTTCCAGCATTCCAGCCAGTGTACCCGGGAGGCCGGGAGGCGGTGACCTGGGCTACTCCTAGTAATCTCTATCACCCTGGGGTCAGCCAATGGGGTAAAATTCAAGGTATACTTACCTGTCACTCTGTTTATTACAAAAATCATTCCTTATTTTGTCCACAATAGAAGTTCGGGGAAGGATGTTGGTTTTGTTTTTTTTCTTGGCATCGTTTTCAACTACCACTATCAGCCAGTCCACAGAGCTATGAGCTTTCAGAACATTCTGCCACTTGGTAAGGTCGTCTTTTACCGTAGCTTTGTACACTTCTGTATCCTAAAAACAAATAAGTCACTGTGAAGCAAAATTCATCAACACCCTTCAGTGCAACAGCACAAGGTGTCCACTAACAGCTACATCGGCCACAGCACGGCCTCACTGGGAGTTGCGACACTGCACGCCAGGCCCCATGCCCACCTGCCCCGATGACAGGAGATGGTCCTAACGTCTCAGAGGAAGAGACTGAGGCAGACCTACCCACAGCAACACAGGCCACTGGGTAAACTGGGACTTTAAAAACTCAGGTTGGCTCTGCCAAAGGCCTCGTGCCCAAGAACTGCATAATCCCACCTGCCACCTGCCTCATGTCGAAGCGGCTCCTCCCACCCAGGTCTCGCGGCCCAGAGGCCTCACATCTGAAGGACACCTAGGCTGCCTTCAAGCAGTGTCCTTCATGGCTCCCCAACTCCTTGCCCACCCCTAGAACCACTCTGACCTGAATGCCACTTGCAGGCCACAGCAGGTGCAAGGCAGCCTCGGACCTAAGCCCAAGATGACAATCTAGGGTTGTTGTTGTTTTTTTTTTTAAAGATTTTATTTATTCATTCATGAGAGACACAGAGAAGCAGACATAGGCAGAAGGAAAAGCAAGCTCCTCGCAGGGAGCCCGATGTGGGACTTGATCCCAGGACCCCAGGATCATGCCCTGGGCCAAAGGCAGACAGATGTTCTGCTGAGCCACCCAGGCATCCCCAATCTAGGGCTTCTTGAAGGCTGTTCTCATTCAGAAAGACCGAAAGGAGAATCATCTTGGTCCTAAAAAAAAGGAAAATCATTGCTGCTTCTGACCCAGAGTCCCAAACACCAGCCTGCACAAAAGCCCATGAGCCTGCCTCAGCTTATCTGGAAAAAAGTGGGAACACAGAACATTTCCTTACCTTTGGTAACTGTTGATGATCGCCCTTACACTCCATAAATCTACTTATCAGACTTGGAGTGAAAATCTAAAACCAAGACGCTTAATTCATATCCAAATCAGGCAATTAAAAACTTTCACAAACTATACTATATAGCTACTGTTTAAATATGTATCCCTCCCCCTTTTCTTTAATAGAAAGATTCCTTGTTATCGTGCCCATATTTTCTCTGGATTTTTTAGTTTCTCTCAAATATGCTAACGGGATCAATCTATGAATGAAGAATCCCAATTTCTGTACCCAGTTCCTCTTTGGTTTAATTGGTAAGTGAAAGTGAGTACTGAAGTGAGTACTTTTCATTTTTAGTGTGATTTTTAAACCCACTGTGTCCTCAGTTTAAATTAAAAACAAATACAAACTGGAAAGATCTTCTGCTGAAAAAAAAGAAAAAAAAACGAGGAAAACCATCTCGTGAAGACTACAGCCTCCACGGAAAGGCAGCTCTTTGGGCTGGATGCTTCCGCCTCGCAATGCCAGCGCCCTACTGGGCTCTAGGAGCCCACAAGCATCATGCCTGCAGAGTGAAACCAAAGGCCACAGACCCCAACGTCTTTAAAATCAAACCTCAGGGTGCAGGACAGGGAGCGGGAAGAGCCAAGAAGCACGGGAAGGCCACCCCAGGGCTGGTGCCAGGCACCCTCTCCCCACGCCAGCACCCCCAGCCCTGGCTCCCAGCTCTCCAAACCAGGGAGGCACTCCCACACCCCCTGAGGGAACACAATCGCCCCCTCTTGGGATGCTCTGGTTGCAGCAGAGACCTGGCTGTGTCCCCACAGTTCTGGTGAAGTAAGTGGTATGTAATCTAGGCCCTCACTTGCAACAGTGAGCAAACCACTAAAAAGACCCGCTGACTGTTCAGAAGAAGAGCCCGAGCTGAGCCAGTAAAGTTAAGGATGTCTCCAGGAAACAAAGTCAGGGAAGGTGGGGAAGTTTCCCACGGTCAGGGATGAGGAGGGCACCAAGGTGGGGAGTGGCCCTGCCTGGGCGCCAGAGGCACAAAGGGCAAGAAGGGTAACACAGCACAAGATATGGAAGCCCAAGTGAGAGGATGAAGGACCATAGGGCTGGCAGGAGGTGTCAGAGACCAAGAAGGGCAAAGAGGGGCTCCCTGTTGGGGTGGCTTAATCTAGAGTGTTGTGGATCAGCTGAGGGGAGAAGGGAAGTGATCCAATGTGGAGCATCAGTCCCAGGGCAGGGAGGGGGCACCATGCTGGGGGGGGGGCGTGCAGAGGAGCAGGACAGCAGTGGCAGGATACTCCCTAACAGCAGTTATTCAAATAAGCAAACCTCCGAAGCACAGTGAGCACCTGGCCTCTCCATGCCGGAGAACGAGTTACGGACATGGAAAAGGAAGAAAGAACTGCCGTGTGGTGCAGGACTGGAATCGGACTGTGTATACACATGCACACGTGTATGTGCACACATGTACACCTACAAACGGAAATGAATGTAAATGTGTGCATGGGTGGGCACACAGAGGCACACATACATGTATTTCCCAGCTGGGCCCACTGCAAAGGCTCCAGAGATAACACGTCTAGCTCCGGGGCTTGGTTTCTAAATACAGTTTCCCACCAAGACGAACCAGCGCTCAGCGCTCGCTGGGAACCGGCTGACCCCTGGGCTCAGGCAGGGAAAGGACGGGACAACCCTGGCATACCTTGTGTTAGGGAGAGCTCAGAAAATAAGGACATGTCCAAAGGTCTTAGAAGCCAAATCTGGGACAATGTGAGCATGAAAATCAATACCAATAGGAAAGTACCCTCCCCAAATCAGAAATCAGCGGGTGCATCCTGACATCAATACACAGGATGACCTCCAGACAAAACGAAGAGGCAGGGAGCTGAATGACTGCTGGAAGCTCCCGGCCTGTGGCACCACGAGGGGCACTGAGGTCCTGTATGCCAGGCACCCTGCATAGAGCCAACAGCAGGCACAGTGCCCTGGGAGGCAAGGACAGCTGACTTCACAGGAGGCCAGAGGTCAGGGGGCCCCTCAAGTGCTCAGCAGGAGGCTGACCAGCACACAAGTGTAACAGCGACTCAGAGCCAGGGAGAGACCCCTCCAGACAGGACTCAGCTGCCACACAGATGGGGCTGGGAACCTTCAGATCCACTAGGTGGAGAAATCGGGAAGGAGGAGAGAATCAGTGCCTGACTGACCTCTATTCCAGACCCACAGGTCACAAGAGCCACACCTGAGACGATCACACTCTAGTAACTTAATGACACAAAGCTCAAGAAAATTTGTAGGATGTAAGCACTCAAGAAGATAAAATTCACAATGCATGGCAGCCCATAAAAAAATTGCCGAGCAGTCAAAGAAGAATATGTGGTCTATAACAAGTAGAAAAATCAATCAACAAAAGAGACTCAGTAATAACACAGATAACTGAATTAGTAGACAAAACCATTAAAAAACATATTGTGACCACAATCCATGTGTTCAGGAAGATTCCATCAGAGGAAAAACCGATGTTAAGCAGAGACATGGAGGATATTTTAAAAACGTAGAGACCCTTACGGATCTTCTGGAGATGAAAACCACATCTCAACTGCAAAATACACTGGATGGGACGGATTAAGAGCAGTTTAGACACCACAGAAGAACGACTAGTTAATGTGAAGACACAGAAGCAGAAATCATCCAAATGAAACAGAAAGACTGAGAAGCCACCAACACAGTGTCATTGAGCTGTCGGTGTTCCAGTACCTGATATGTGAGTGACTGGAGTCCTCAGAGGAGAAGAGAGGAACACAACAAGTATCTGAAGGAATAACAACCAAAAATGTTCCAAATCTAAGTCAAAATTACAAACCCACAGCACAAGCACAAGATACACAAAGAAAAATACACCAGGGCACACCATAGTGTAAAACCAGTGACAAAGAAAAAAACCTTTATTTTTTTATTTTTTATTTTTTATTTATTTATGATAGTCACAGAGAGAGAAAGAGAGAGAGGCAGAGACATAGGCAGAGAGAGAAGCAGGCTCCATGCACCGGGAGCCCGACGTGGGATTCGATCCCGGGTCTCCAGGATCGCGCCCTGGGCCAAAGGCAGGCGCCAAACTGCTGCGCCACCCAGGGATCCCAGAAAAAAACCTTTAACCATGGAAGGGGGGAAAAAAAGATACACTAGATACAAAATAACAACGACAAGAATGAAAGACTCATCCGTCACAATGTAAACCAAGACCTTGGAGCCAAGTCTCTTACATGCTGGGAACAAATAAAGAACTGTCAGTTCTAGAATTCTCATCCTGCAAAAAATTTTGCGAAAATAAAGGCCTCCTCAGCTGCACAGAACTGAAAGAAGTCTCACCATGGACCTGCCCTATAGCAAAGGAAAGAGGAGCCCTGAAGTGGTAGCTAAGAGACATACTTCCTACGTCTAATTTCTACCACATAACTGTCTAAAGCAAAAACAGTAACAACGCACTGTCAGGTCTGTAACAAGCATGGGACCCGCGGGCCTGCGCAAAGGTGGGCGATGGCCCAGCACCATATGAAGGGAGGAGGTGATGTTGAAGATGCATGCTAGAAACTCAAAAGCAACTACTAACGTACAGGGGTTCTACTTTTAATTCTAAAATCCTAAACATTATCTACTTGTTCTAGAAAACTTCCCTTAATAGATAATGATCAAAAATAAAGCAAAACAACAACAAAACACAGGATCCCTATTAGAAAATGTGATTTTAAGGGGGGGGGGGGAACCCCTCCATTCATAATGTACACAAAAAGTGTATCTAGCAATAAAAATCCAAGACTTCTATGAAAAACATTAGCACACATTACTAAGGGTATCAAAAAGGCATAAAGAATGGAGAAACAAAAACCATGGTTCCACATGCAAAGATTTGTGATTAAAATTCTCCCCAAATGAATCTGCAACTTATTCAAAGCAATCCCAACCAAAATACCTCCCTGGTTTCTTTTTCTCTTTTCAACTGCTCCTCCTGTTCCGTATGGCTTTGTAACAAAGCATGACAACATGCAGCAGTCCAGAACATTCGTTCTGCCACCAATCTACAACCTCGGCAAGACCAGGTGCATAGCTTGCCTGCCCCACCCAGTG